AGAACAATTATAACAAGATAAGTGCCAACATAATGCTAAAGCTTAAATGCAACTCACCAGTAATGGACACAATGTAGCAGAGTGATCATATGGTAATGGAATAACCTCCTTTAGGAGTTAACAGCTTCTCCCAACAGTTCACTGAGAATCAACATCACTTTCCAGTGGTTCCAATAGTGTAGTCAATTGTTTAAAAGAGTCTGCACTCTGATAGGTCGATGAGTACTTGCTGGAAGGGGCATCATTCCACTAAGCATAGCAACTTATGTCATGCAGACATAACAATCAGTACTTTTTAAACACAATATAAAATCAAACACTCATTCCTCTAAAACGTTACAGTAGACGGCAATTGAAAAAAAGGAATAAAAATGGAATCTGAAACTGAGGCATATTCAATAAATTAGCAGGGTTTAATCAAATAAGCTTGTTTCACTTGCCATTTCAACCTTATTTCATCAGATCTGGTAAACAAATAACCAAAGGCGGACACCGTGCTCTGTGTAAACACAGCCTGAACAAATTACCGCTGATCATTTATTTAAAGAAAAGAAGAACCATGATTTTAAATACGCCTAATACATAACATAAAATCAAAACATAAAATCATAACATTTTGCTTTATGATTTTACAACTTACAAATCAAAAAGATCAGATCTATTTTCTATTTTTAATAGAGAAAAAAAGACAAATTAGTTTTGTGGCACCATTTTTCCCCTTGACTTAATAGCAGTAATCTTAAACTATATATCAGAATCATTATATGAATGGTGTTTCTGATCATTATATACTATTATAGAGTCTTCAGGATGAGAGTCTCCTCAGGGTCATTAACATCTGCCTGGCATCAGCTGGAGAAGGGCATAATCACTGGCTGTACAATCACAGTGGCTCCACTCTTCTCATTGGCCATGAACATGATTATCAAGTCAGCAGAGGTGGAATGTAGAGGTCCCATGTCTAGATATGGTACTCGGCAGCCCCCGTAAGAACATTCATGGACAACCTGATGGTGATGGCAACATCCGTGCCCAGGTGCTGATGGCTCCTCAGAGGGCTGGAAAAGCTTATCTCATGGGCAAGGGTGAGTTTTTAACCAGCCAAGTCCAGATCTCAGGTCCTGAAGAAGGGAAGGGTGGCTGACCAGTTACTCTTTAAGCTGGGAGGGACCCAGATTCCAACGGTGACAGGAAAAAACGGTCAAGAGCCTGGGCAAGATTTTTGACAGCTCCATAAAGGACACAGCTGATTTCAGCAAACCAAGAGCGACCTGACTGCCTGGCTTACAGCGATAGACAAATCGGGGCTTCCAGGAAGTTCAAAGCCTGGATGTACCAACTTGCTGTCCTGCCAAGACTACTCTGGCTCCTGCTAGTGTACGAGGTGCCAATGACAACAGTGAAGGTTCAAGAAAAAAACACCAGTCGGTTTCTCTGGAGGTGGTTGGGGCATGGGGTATGGGCATTCCACCAAACTGCAGCTCCCCATCAGCGGGCTGGTGGAGAAGTTTAAAGTTGCTCGAGCCATGGAGGATATGATGTACCGAGACTCCTCTGACGCTAAAGTTGCAACCGCAGGAATCTTCGTGAAGACTAGAAGGAAGTGGCAGGCCCAGGAAGCTGTCAACAGAGCGGAGGCATGACTGTGGCACAATATTTTGGTGGGCACTGTGGCGGGCAGGACTGGACGGTTTTCCCAAACCTTGCTATGACAAAACCCATGGAAAGGTGAAGCGTCAACTGGTACAGGATGAGATACGAGCAGAGGTGGAGGAAAATCGCAGCACCAAGATGGTTGGTATGTACAAACAAGGAACCTGGACCAGATGAGAGCATGCAGAATCTTGCAAGATCACCAGGTCAGAGCTCTGCTATGCATTCAATTTCACATCCAATCAGTTTATGACGTTCTCCCCAGCCCGGCCAACCTGCATAGCTGGGGAATGGCAAACACTCCAGCGTGCCAACTGTGCAAGAGTAGGGGCACCTTGGAGCACATCCTCAGTTGCTGTTTGAAGGCAAAGTGTGAAGGGCAATATCGCTGGCGCAATACAGTCTTTGGCGGATACAATCAACACAAGATAGCAAGAATCAGCACGGCCCCAAACAGCACAACCCCTTCATCAGAGCTGGGGAGAAGGCACCTCATCGGTCTAGCTCCACGGGAGGGTTTCTAGTCATTGCACGGGACTGGGAGCTCCAGGTCAACCTAGGAAGGCAGCACAAGTTCCCAGAAAACATCGCTACCACTCTTCTCCGCCCAGACATGGTATTTACAACGGAGTCGACAAAGCAAATGGTGTTGCTAGAACTGACTGTCCCCTGGGAAGACTGGATTGAGGAATCCAATGAGCGAGCGCAAGAAGCCTAAATACGCAGACCTTGTCACAGAGTACTGGAGCAATGGTTGGAGCCCGCTGTGAGCCAGTTGAGGTTGGGTTTCGGGGGTTCGCTGGCAAATCATTACATCAAACTCTAAAACTCCTTGGTGTTAAAGGACTGCAGTGCAGAAGAGCCATCAAGAACATCCTGGAGGCTGCTGAAAAGGCCTCGCGGCGGCTGTAGATCCGGAGCTTAGTGCGCATCACCCCCGGCTGGGCTGAGAGAGTGTATGACGATTAAAAACCCGAAACACCCTATGACCCTGGGTTTATCACTGAAGATTTTTTCAATTTTTTTTATGAATGGATATTAAAAAAAAAAAACTTGGTTTAACCACAGAGGCTGTTAATGTTTGTGATATATGGAAGTTTAGGATGGTCCAAGCTCCTTGGAATAAAACCTAATCTCTAGTGCATATTTTAAAATAACAAATAAAAAACTGGTGGCTTTGCAATACCAATAAGAGGTAATCACAAAAAAAAATGAAGGCAAATTTAAAATAGTCAGGCAGCCAAATTTTAATTTTTGTAGCACTTGAGATGGAATGACCCTATTAATTTATTTTTTAAAAACATTAATTAATGAATACAGGGTTCCTACACATTTTCGAATTAAAAAATGTATACTTTTGGAGACTGAAATTTCAAACCTCTCTAGATTTTTCGGACCATATTTAACATAAATTGTTCATACAGCATTATATTTGATATATAGTACAAATATCTGAAAATACTTTCCAAGGTTTTTTTCATTGGTTTTCTCAAAGTGATAGCATGCACTTACATAATGACAAGAAACCTAAAACGCTTTATAACCTGCATATTCGTATTCACCTCTGACAAATCAGTTTGATACTGTAAATGTGGTTTGATGTTGCACGATCACCAAACAGCAAAGTACAGTCTGAATTAAACATTCAGTATAGTATGAATTAAATGATAATTTACTCCTTTATCTGTTGCTGGTTTGAGTGGCACATGCACATTTGTTTACACATTTGTGTGCCTTTAATTCATTCAGTCGTGCTTGACAATCACCAAACTTTAGCCACTCTGCTTGTATGATAAAAATTATTTTGATAAATTATTCAATTTAAAGCTGCAGTCCATAGCTTTTTTTGGGTTAAAAATTATTCAAAATACATATTTGAGAAAATACATAACCAGCCAGTGTTCAAAACTCTCTGCTTGCCTTAGCTCGATTCACAACGGTAAGCTTGTAATAATGTTTTTAATTCCAGTGGTACTGGTGGATTTCCGCGGGAGATTCGAGCATGTCTTTGCGTCATTACGTCACATCTGTACACATAAAGAAGGAGTCTCGGCTAATCGACTATATTGCGTGTGAGGATGCTGGAGGTGGAGATTTATAGCCTTTTTTTTACAGCACTTGATATGATTAAACTTGTCAATTTGATTGTGGATCCAGAAAGGTTCAAACGACAATCACCAGTGACAACAGATTCACCCGCTGTAAAATGCAAAAGACTTCGGAGTGGCTACAGAAATAAAGAGACTGCAACCGGCCCATGGTAAAACAAGGATAATATCGGAAGGACATTACATGTAGTCACGCAATGCTGACGTTGTTAACATTAACAATTTGATAACAAAGTATAATTTGCACGGTTTTGCGTGATGAGATTTAATCAGCGTGATTTACTGCAATGTCAGAACCAGAACAAAAGTGGATGTTTCTTACTTGTTCAGATGACATTTTCCGGTGAAAATTCTTATGTTGGTCATACTTCCAAAAAGAATAATCTGTGATCCTGAATGCCAGTATCCACACCAACACAGTGACTGACAGCCTCACACTCTCCTCAAACATTGTGTTCATCCGCGCTGTGCCGTGTCGAGGGTGTTGAAGTACAACTCACGTAAAGTTGATAATTGCAGTTGCAGATTTCGAACAGAGATGGCGACAAAGAGGAAAACCTGCGGACTGCAGCTTTAAATTTTTAGAAAACTGAATAAGGGAAATAGTCAGGAAAAACATATATTTTTCCATACTTTTCCAGACCTGGAAATTACTCAAATTAAATGTCATACTTTTCCAAACTGCATAGGAAACCTGTTAATATATTACTTTAGTTGAGATTATGTTAGGATGACTGTCTATATCTTTAAACTGTTAACCATAGCCTAAATAATCAGAACAGACGCAATAGTTTTATATTTAAAGGAGCTGTATGTAAGAAATTTATTTCAATTAATCATAAAATGGCCCTGAAATGTCACTAGACATTAAGAAATCATGTACATTTCAAATACTTATATCACTGACAACAGTAGTCTGGCCAGGATATTGTCATTTAAAAAGTGCAGTTGCAGCCCTCAACTGATGTTGATGTTGTCATGTTGTGTTTTGGTCTGATGCTCCACCCTCCACCTATCTACCAATCACAAAGTCAGTAGTGTTGCGGCATCCGGGTTGCCAGCTCTGCTCTAGTTACCACAGCTGCAGCTCGTCACGTTCCTGCTGGATCCTGCAGCTGATCTGGCAACCTCGAGTCAGGGAGGAGGGGGAGGGGATACACCACTCTACAGTAATTTGAAAGTGATTGCAGTACTAGTTTTGGCCACAATCTTACATACAGCTCCTTTAATGTATAGCTCTCTCTGACTGACCATACCTGCTTTTATTCAGATCTAAATGTCCCAGCGCAGTATCTTCAGCATGTTTACCTCGCCAGTGCTTATATAACGATGTGTGATCAGTGGATGGTGGGTTATTAATATGTCATCTCTGCTGGTCCAGGTCGCTGCCGGTCAGCAGGTCTCCTCCACAGGATCTATTCAGCAACTCTTTCAGTGCTTCATTGACATCGGTATTAAACACGCTGCTAAAGCTACAGTTTGGGAAGGTGACCTGGAATGAACCCACCACTTCCTGTACCCACTGCAGCTCAGCACAGAGCTCCTTCTGCAGGGCCTCAAAACGTGTCTGCCTCTCCTTGTATCGCTCGCTCACTCGGCTAACGCTGCCATCCACGCTCCTCATGTCTTCGTGAACGCCCCGTCTCTGGGCTTCGACTTTACGGAACTCATAACGAAGCTGGGACAACTCGTGTCTGATGCTTTCGCTTTCTTCTTTGTACCACATCTCCTTCTCATTGTAAATGGACACTAGTGCATCAATGTCCTCCTGCAAGGAGTCGTGGGCCGAGGCCAGCTGGCAGAAAGTGCCCTCCATTGCTGACACGTCCTCCTCCACCTGTGCGAAGCGTTCAAAGTTGATGTAGGTGTTATTAGGAGGCATGCTGGAGTGGGACTTGATGGTGTACTCTTTAAGACGCTTCGTCTTCAGCTGCCTACGCTCTCTCTTCCTCTCTGGTGCTTTACTGCGCTCGTCCTTATGCTCATTAGACTGCCAATAGACAATGGAGTTAAGATTGAGAGATATATTTAAAGATTAAGAGAGAGAAAGCATGAAATAGAGGGAATATCAAAATGCACTGTACTATGCCTGTTCACACCAAGAATAATAACTATAAAGATGACAATAATGATGACGATATTAGCAACCACACCAACGCACGATAACGTCTGCGACTTTAAATGCTCAAGCTCTTTAAAGCAGTATGGATTCTGATTGGCTGTCAATGTTTTTATCGTTCATTAGTTGGAAAAAAGTGATTCCAATGATATAATTCATCTTTGTCGGAATTGTTATAGTTGTGGTGTGGATGGTGTGATTTTTTTTTTAAAACTACATCTTTATTGTTATCTTTATAGTTATTGTCGTTGGTGTGAACGGGCCTTGAATGCCTTTCAGGTAAACGATCTCAAGCTGATAACATACCTTGATCCAAGGGTGGTTCAAGGCATCTTGAATTGTAAGTCTCTTTCTGAAATATATAATTGAGATGGTAATTTATGCCGTTTTACTTTAAACAAGCATCATATTTTGCTCTCTGTCTCAAGCTCAAAGCTCACACTCAAATACACATGACCTCAGATGATCTCAGCTCACTCACTTGGTGTCTTTTTCCAGCAGTTGTCGTATAAAATTCTTGGCAAGCTCACTGGTGTGGCCAAAGAATTCATCATCAAACTCATAGTTCATGGCTGAGATGTTTCCCAGGGTGTCTTGCTTCGTTTCTCCTAGGAAAGGAGACGCCCCGCTCAACCTGCATTTAGAAAGCATATTAGCAGAACATCGCTAAAATCACACATTTTTATATTTATAGGCTTAAACAAATGGTGTACTTACAGAATATATGTAATAACACCAACACTCCTATAAAAGGAAAGGACTTAATTATTTGAAATAAAAAACAACAATATCAAATTATTGAGATATTTTATTTAATATACATTAAAAAATTATCTTACCACATATCTGCTTCCAGTCCCAGTGGCTCATAATTCACAATTTCTGGAGCTGAAAACAGCAAAAACGATATGTAGTATAAAGAGGAACAAAACAATAAGAATTTAAAAAAGTGTGTTAGGGGTCGTTCACACAGAATGGCCCTCATTTATCATTCTTGCGTAGAAACGGGCGTATATATTGGCGTAAGATTATGCTTGCACTCCTCTCACCGCCTGATTTATGAAGCTGTGCGTACCTTTGAAATCCAGGTGTACGCAATACCTGCCCTTGATAAATCCCGCGGCTGAAAACGATCGTCATTAGAAACACGCCCCTATATATTCAAGTCTCCGCTTCCCCCACGCCCTCATTTTACGCCATGTACACACGGAAGACGGCACAGAAGAGAAACTTCTCTGACGTGGAGCCGAAATGACCTATCACAATGCATTATTTTACAGCACGTCTTTTGAAACAATTAGCATTCAATTTCGAATCACGTCACATGTATTGGGGTGTACAATAGTGATGATGATGATGTGATGTGGAGTACCATTCATTCACATTAATAATTGCATGACAATTTGTAATATTCTTCTTATTATTATGATTTTTATTATTAAAGGCACACTGTGGAACTTTTGGCCACTAGGGTGCGCTCGACCTGTAATTTTCACGTCTAGTGCCCCTAGAGGCCACAAGCGCCGCAGCATTGTTGCAAAAGTCAACAAACAGTCAACCGGTCAACCTCCCGTGTCTTTATGTCTGTGCAGACGGCATTTGATTTATATGTTGGAGAAAGTTAATCGATTCACTACTGACCAAAATATTAATATAAATATAAGATTAATAATATAAATCCTATAAAGAAAACAAACTGAATAAAAGTAGCATACGCAGAAAACAATGTCTGATCAGGTAAGTCGCATTGACAAGGGTTGCCCAATCCTGCTCCTGCCGATCGTCTGTCCTGCACAGTTCATCTCCAACCCTAATCAAACACACCTTAAGCAAACAATTAACGTCTTCAGGATCTCTTTGCAATGGGTTGGAGATGAAATCGAGTAGTCGGGAAATCGTGTAACAAAACTGATATAACTCACTACATATTTCCGTTATTTGTAGTCTTCAGTTTGTTTTTCCTTTTACACAAATACAAACATATGAGCTGAAAAAAAAAAAAAAAAAACATTTACATTTGTATACGGCAGTATGTTGTGACTTATATCAGTTTTGTTACACGAATTCGCAGTAAATATTACATTATATACACTTTTATGCCGATGTTTATTTTAAACTCTCCCTTTTTCTTTTTTTGGTCTCCTCTGACAAAATCTTTGCTTTCTTCGCTTTCTTCCGAGTAGCTGTTGATTCAGCCATGACGACAACATACAGACGCCGGCAATCAAACGCGAGTTGAGCTCTCACGCTAGAATTTGAGGAAGTTGGGGTGGTGGGGGAAGTGACGTATGCCGTAAAGCGGTCGAATTTTGTAGTTCTTTTTGTGCTCGGGTTCCTACCCGAAACCCGAAGTTACATAGTGCTAGTAAAAGCGATACAGACACCTTCAGGCTTCGGCAGACGTGTCATTCAACCTATTGTAAGTCGATGTACCATCTCAATGGGTTTTGGTAATATATTATAAAGGTTGAAAAGTTCCACAGTGTGCCTTTAATGACGCTTATTGTTATTTAGAAGAAGAACGTCGTTATTATTATTTGTATTATTATTATTATTATTTAAAAGAAGAAGAATGTATTTTTTATTATTTTGTCAAGTCTGAATTATTTTTTGGTCATTGAAAGCCTTTCATTACCAAACCCAGTCCGTGCGCACCTGCCGGGCCAAACCCTGAAACGTCAGGGTAAAGCGCACAGGCTCGCAACTGAAGGAATACATATGGCTACAAATCAAATGGTTTGGTAAAGTCACACAAATTAAACATTGAAGTCCATGTTGCACAAAAATAAACACTGAAGTTTATAATTACTATGTTGTTGTTGTTGGTCATAATATATCACATCTTTTAGTTTGTCAGTGCGTTTTGTGGTGTTAGGAATTGTTTTTCTGCGCATTTCCGCACTAACTCAAAACGTGCGTACACCACCTCCTGAGCTGGCGTAGGATTTGAGCGTACCGTACGCCAACGTCCATATTGATAAATCTCAAAGTCACCGTGGTTTTGGGTGTACGCCAGGTGTACGCTGGAAATTTGGTGTACGCACTTTTGATAAATGAGGTCCAATGTGTTTTTGCATTCCACTGTGCTGCTTTTCCATTGTTTTTTCTATGTGAACATGAGCTAGACGGACGTGTTTGACCATTGCGCTGACATCTTCTGTCTTTTTCAGCGTCTTTCGCATTACACAGTGCTCTAAAAATGCAGAACTCAAGTTTATTCAACAAGCCTGCGTCTCAAGTCTTTCAACGTGAAAACATTTTCTGTGTGAATGGCCCCTTGGTGTGCACAGTTAAGGCTGTTAAACAGAATATATATCATACCAACAAACTCTGGCGTTCCAAAGATGTTTTTAAATTCAACCCCTTCAGCGATCTTGTGGGCCAAGCCAAAATCAATGAGTTTGATCCGGGGAAGTGGGGCGTTCTTATCCAGAAGCATGATGTTTTCAGGCTGCGAACCGGAAAATAAATTACACACACAGGAGCACACCCACACTCATATGCACACAAAGACACACTGTTCTACTGACAGAGAATTCTTCAGTGTTCCACATCTGTCAGTGCAAATATGCTGTACTGTAATATCTGGGCAGTGTTATGAGACCAGTAGGTGTACTGTACCTTCAGGTCAAAATGAGCAATATTCCCTGTGTGTAAATAGTGAACGCCCTCTAGAATCTGCTTGATAAACTGTGTGGCTTCCTCCTCACTTAAAGACTCTTTCTGTGCCAGAAAGTCGAAAAGCTCTCCTCCAGACACCCTGCAAAAATACATAATCTCTTCTCAATAAGGATAGCCAGGTGAACTAAAACTAAAATATGCACTTTAAAAAATGATGCAAGCACAAACTCATATAATAATGAAATCATTTGTATTAGCATTAATACAAGCTCTACTCACAGCTCCAAAATCAGCACCACATCTGTCTTGTTCTCAAACACATCATGTAGCATGACAATATTGGGATGCTGTATCTGCTGTAGGATATTGACCTCTCGCTCAATCTCTTCTCGGAGCACACCTCGCCGGCTGGCATTACTCTGCCGTTTCTTTATGAACTTAGCTGCAAAATCCTGACCTGAGCACTTTTCACGACACTGCTTAACAATGGCAAACTGCCCACTGAAAGACACATGAACTGTTATAAAACACACAGACAACAATTTCATATTATAAATATAAATAAAAGGTATTTCTAGAAAAGATTTTCAGATTTGAAACTACACTGTGGAATCACAACCGTCTTAAATTGAGACTTAATACAAGCAAGACACCATAATGCATCTTGTGAGTGTAAAGAAACATGGGACATTAATGTAAATTAGTGCTGTCAGTGTCAAATCGATTAATTGCGATTAATCGCAACTAACATAAAAGTTTTTGTTTACATAATATATGTGTGTGTATATATATATATATATATATATATATATATATTAGCTATATATACTAGGGGTGTAACGATACCCTCATGTCACGATTCGATACATATCACGGATACTGAACTCACGATTTGATATTATTGCGATACTTCAAGACATATGATAAAAGGTTAACAAAAAATGTACTGTTGATTAAAATGGTAACTTTGATATTACATTGTGGGTTTAAATGAATAGGCTTGGACTTGGTGCTTGTAACCCAAGGACAATGGTGACACCTGAATAAAAAATATTCATGATTCTGAAGCTGAAAATACATAATTATTTTAGATGAATATGCTTGCACTCTGTCTCTGGCTAGATATATTTAAAATAATGTCAGCCATTTTTTACTGGTAATATCAGATATTTGGCATTATCACAAATATTCCCCCATTGCATTATTATACATTATAATCAACATTATATAGTCGTTTAATGTAGTACTGACACTAAAACTCTGAAAACTTGAATTTTTTCTCACACAGTAATGTGAAGTGAACTATCTACGATACATATTGTCACTATCCTCTTCCTCGATATGTATTGTTGCATTTTTTTATTGCGATATATTGCGGCACGATTGTTACACCCCTAATAGGTATATTCTGTACACACAGACATATATTTATACATACATAATAATATACACACACACATTATGTAAACAAAAACTTTTATGTTAGATGTGATTAATCGATTTGACAGCACTAATTTATATATTATTTATTATCAATATAATTGATATTAATAATTATTATGAATATTTTATTAAATACTATTAACATAACTTATTGATTAATATTATTAATAATATATTATATATTATTTAATACTATTTTTTTCACACAGGTTGTTATATTCAGTTCATATCAGGATTCAATTACATTGTTGATGTTTTCACACTGTTTAAGCAGTTTTAATCTCTGATTTTCACAAGCACTGTGCTGGGATGAAAGTTTTGGGTGGGGTGAATGACTAAATATTTCCCCCTATACATGGCACCTATGAATGCATCTGTGTAATGTGTATACCATCACGTATTGCAGCAATCAGCAAAGTAAATCAATAAATCACTAAGTAAACAGCAAACTTCTTACCTTCCAAGTTCCTCTCCAATCTCATAGAAATTCTCAACCTGCTGCTGCTTGAACACAGCCATTGTGATCTTATTTGAAACAAAACAAAAACTCTTCTTAGTGGACTCATAACAAATAGTATGCACAAAGACTTACAATTGTTTAAAGAACAATATAAATTATCTGTGCGTGTCAGTCAAAATGGCACTTTATTACTAGGCTACAATAAGCTGATCATACAGTAGGCTATTAGTTTGTTGTGACCTAAATATTTCATTCATGATGGAGGGACAAATTTAGATTAAGTGTGCAACATAACGACGAGGCCTCACCTATATTTAGCCTAAATTTATCCAAGGAAAACGGGTGTCTAGAATGGAAAATGAAAAAACAAACTCACAAAATGAAAATGGGAAAAATCTGTTTTGACAGGTATTTTCTGACTTACAAGATGTGCTTCCCATGCTATTTGATGTAGGCTACATTTTGATGCTATGACAGATGTTAAATGAGCTCATCTTGAGAAAGAAGCGTTTTTAGCTGACATGACAGCTGTATCTAGCCTATAGCAGACCCTGTCTGATCGTGACAACACAGTAGGCTAATGCACTTCATTCGAAAAAATATTTAGAAGGCTACACAAGCACGAGCATACGTTAAAAAAAATTAAACATTTAAGAGCTTAACCAAAGAGTTTGTGTGAAAAAATTGCATATGTTTAAGATCAGTAGTACAAGCACAAGATATATCCTACCTGTCATGACCAACAAATATGTTACGTTCTGAATCCTTTCATGCGTCTTTCATAGAGGAAAGCACACTGGTCGTGATCCCAGCAGCTTGTTTCTAAAAGTGGACACGCCACCTGTTGAACTCATGCCTGAGCGTAAAAACGCCAACACACTGACAGACTTGTGTCCCATGACTGAAAAAAATTACCCAACATAAAGGATTCTTCTGAATTATATCCATGTTGTCACCTGCCCGTTTAGTCGCAATGTTGCTGACTGCAGTTCAGTCAGATTAATCAATGTTGTTCGTTAGTCTCGTACTCCTCTGTTCTCTTTACTGCTGCTGACATGTGCTAAAAATTATCACTTTTAGCATGTGGCAAATAGTTGATTTATTTTTTGTTGAAGTACTGAAACACTTGCAAATAGGCCTACTTTTAAGTAAATATAATAAGATCATGTCATAGGCTAGCCTACTTTTAACCAAGATTTATTTTAATAAGACTTTTAGTTGTAGCCTACAGTAGCCTAAAAGCTTTCAAAAAAATCAAATTAATTCAATAATTTAAATGTTCATCATATAAGAGGTGTATTCAAGTCATTGTTTGTATGATTGCTATAAATTCAAGACTAGTTCCTGTCCTGACCATAACGTGTAGTTTTATGATCTCCTCCATGTTGATTTTCATGTTTATAAAGACTGTTTATTTTGGTTAGGCCTACTCCTTTGTTTCGTCATGCAATTTACACAACCACCGTTACAGAAGAACAAACCTAGATTGCATACATTTTTTTTGTTTTCTTTTTCCCCTCTTCCCCCTCACAATGGACCGACCCGCCATAACTGCTATGCCTGGAGCAGAAAGACCGTTCAGTGGATGACCACACAAGGGACTTTTTAGATCTGGCGTGCCTAACTATCTGAACCGTTTGCTCTGCATGTTTTACCACAACAGTCCAAGGCACACCTGCCAATGAACGGTCCTCTGAATAAAGGATCAGCATTCACCATCTGCCCCTCTGAGGATGACATCACCAGCCCCACTTCAGCTCCAGAGCACATCAGCCACACTCCGCCTCCACCTTGGCTCCTCCCTCCCTCGGCTCCTGGGACTATCGCCCTTAATGCTCTAGCGGGCTCCCTCGTCCCTCCGGCTCCATCTTGGTCAGACGTCACTCTGCCTACACTACGGACTTCCGGGTCTCCGGCTGCACCCTCCGGCTATGCTTTGGTCCCCACTGGCTCCGCTCAGTCCTCTGGCACCTTGGCTCCCCCTCGGACGCTCGTCACTGTGGCGGCGCCTCTGTCGCCTGAGCCTTCAGTGTGGACCTATCAGCTCTCCATCTCCGCATCTTCACCTCCATCGACTCTGTCTCCGTCTGATGTCCAACTGGTTAAACTGGCTCCTTCCTCCGTCGACTCCGCTGTGGGTCTTCATCCTGGCTGTTGTCCCACCTGGCTTCCCCTGCTCCTGGGTCCTCCCTCTGTCATCTCCTCTCATCTCATGTCCTACCCTTCGCCTGCTACACGTGTCCTCCAGAGCTCCCTCCCTCCTCGATTGGACTGTTTACGTCAGTGTTTCTCAACCTCTCCTGCAGGGACCCCCTGACAGGCCATGTTTCTGTTTTAACCCTGAAATGGCACACCTGATTCAAGTCATTAAAGGCTTAATGAGTAGTTGACTAATTGATTAATTGAACTATTCCTACTCTAATTACTCATTAAGCCTTTAATTACTTGAATCAGGTGTGCCATTTCAGAGTTAAAACAAAAACATGGCCTGTCAGGGGGTCCCTGCAGGAGAGGTTGAGAACCACTGGTTTACGTCATGGGGACGTGCCTTTCGGGAGGGGGGACTAATGTAACGTTTAGTTCTGTCTGTTTAGTTTCATTGTGTTTTGATTCTGTTTTCCCTTGTCTTGGATTCCTGAGTTCCCTGTGCTTATTAGTTTCTATAGTTCCTAATTTACGCACCTGTTCTGTTTTCAGTTGAATACTCCGTCTATGTATTTAAGCCTTTGGTTCATTCAGTTCTTTGTTCGGTCTCGTTTACACTTAAGTGGTTTGTGGTTGATAGTTTTTTTCCTGTGATCTCCAGTATGTGGATTTTAATTTGTTAATAAAGACAATTTATTTTGGAGACTCCTTTGTTTCATCGTGCTATTTACACAACCACTGTTACACTGTCATATTCTTTTTAAAATGTAATCTAAAACACTTAGTTAAAATGAATTGCAAATATAGAGTCAATAAATATTTGGTTGAAATGTCTTTATGCTTTGAGGCCAATAATCAATAAAAATTGAAATCGAAATTGGCAAAACATGGCAAAATTGCAGTAAAGTGCACTATTAGTAATATAATTGAGGTTTAAGTTTACACTAATTCGGGTTGTTTCGAACCCCTGCAGACAGTCGATCAGAACTGTGTAATGACATCAAATGTAACGAATTCACTCTGCAGACTCCAAGTCTCGTTGAAAGAGTTTACTGATGATAATTTCAAATGTAACAGGTGTGGTTTTTCTATTCACGCACACTATATTACATCAGTAATGTTCAGATGCTGCCAACAAATGTTCGATAAAGGGGAGTCATCTTGGAACAGCTCGCGTTCATTGCATCTGCTCGGTGCGCCTGCTTTTCCTCTTTTTGCACTTGATCAGTGATGACATTGAAGGGTGCGATTGGTCAAGTAACAGAGGAGCCTTTTGAACAGCCACCCCCGAATTCAATGCTTGAATTCGCACATCTTACAAAAGGGTCTACCCTATAGTAGTTTACTCAGTCAAGTAGAGCTGGAAGTTTGATAAGACGACATACCGGTCGTGGTACTATCAGCCTATCAGTGTGGACCTATCAGCTCTCCATCTCCGCATCTTCACCTCCATCGACTCTGTCTCCGTCTGATGTCCAACTGGTTAAACTGGCTCCTTCCTCCGTCGACTCCGCTGTGGGTCTTCATCCTGGCTGTTGTCCCACCTGGCTTCCCCTGCTCCTGGGTCCTCCCTCTGTCATCTCCTCTCATCTCATGTCCTACCCTTCGCCTGCTACACGTGTCCTCCAGAGCTCCCTCCCTGCTCGATTGGACTGTTTACGTCATGGGGACGTGCCTTTCGGGAGGGGGGACTAATGTAACGTTTAGTTCTGTCTGTTTAGTTTCATTGTGTTTTGATTCTGTTTTCCCTTGTCTTGGATTCCTGAGTTCCCTGTGCTTATTAGTTTCTATAGTTCCTAATTTACGCACCTGTTCTGTTTTCAGTTGAATACTCCGTCTATGTATTTAAGCCTTTGGTTCATTCAGTTCTTTGTTCGGTCTCGTTTACACTTAAGTGGTTTGTGGTTGATAGTTTTTTTCCTGTGATCTCCAGTATGTGGATTTTAATTTGTTAATAAAGACAATTTATTTTGGAGACTCCTTTGTTTCGTCGTGCTATTTACACAACCACTGTTACACTGTCATATTCTTTTTAAAATGTAAGCTAAAACACTTAGTTAAAATGAATTGCAAATATAGAGTCAATAAATATTTGGTTGAAATGTCTTTATGCTTTGAGGCCAATAATCAATAAAAATTGAAATCAATATTGGCAAAACATGGCAAAATTGCAGTAAAGTGCACTATTAGTAATATAATTGAGGTTTAAGTTTACACTAATTCGGGTTGTTTCGAACCCCTGCAGACAGTCGATCAGAACTGTGTAATGACATCAAATGTAACGAATTCACTCTGCAGACTCCAAGTCTCGTTGAAAGAGTTTACTGATGATAATTTCAAATGTAACAGGTGTGGTTTTTCTATTCACGCACACTATATTACATCAGTAATGTTCAGATGCTGCCAACAAACGTTCGATAAAGTGGAGTCATCTTGGAACAGCTCGCGTTCATTGCATCTGCTCGGTGCGCCTGCTTTTCCTCTTTTTGCACGTGATCAGTGATGACATTGAAGGGTGCGATTGGTCAAGTAACAGAGGAGCCTTTTGAACAGCCGCCCCCGAATTCAATGCTTGAATTCGCACATCTTACAAAAGGGTCTACCCTATAGTAGTTTACTCAGTCAAGTAGAGCTGGAAGTTTGATAAGACGAGTTACCGGTCGAGTGTACAGTTTTTTCTTAACCTCTACAGTGGCTGACCTCACCCTGGAGTCTACTCCTGGAAACACTTCTGTGATTTTTCCCACTGGCCACAACGCCCGAGGAAGTTGAGGGTCAACAATCATCACCACTTCGTCTACTTGCAGATTCTCTTTATTTAACCTCCATTTCTGGCGAGCTGGAAGACTAGGCAAGTAATAGTTGATGAAATGTCTCCAAAAATGATCAGCCAGCAGTTGGCTGTGTCTCCAGCGGCGACGGCTCAGCACATCTGATTCCTGATAAACTACCTGTGGCAAGGAGGCATCTCTGCGTCCAATGAGAAAGCAGTTGGGAGTTATTGGGTCAATGTCAGATATATCGGAGGTGTAGCCAAGAGGTTTTGAATTCAGGATCCCTTCAATTTCAGTTAAGACAGTTCTCAAGACTTCTTCCGTCACGGTCTGCGCCCCGATGGTAACTCGGAGAGCTGTTTTAATCGAACGGATCTCCCTCTCCCAGCATCCACCAAAGTGAGGTGCTCCTGGTGGATTGAACACAAACTTGATTTGCTGGGCAGCAAGGTGACGTTGAAGCTCACTGTGTAAGACAGCAAAGGATTCTTTCAGCTCTCGTTCTCCGCCCTTGAAGTTAGTGCCTTGGTCACTTAACAATTCATATGGTTTTCCACGTCGAGAGATGAATCTTCTCAAGGCCATCAGGAATGAGTCTGAATCTATACTGGCTAGGTGATCTATGTACACTGCCCTTGTCGTCAGGCACTTGAATAATATCCCCCATCTCTTCTCATTTCGACGTCCAATCTTGATTGTGTAGGGACCAAAGCAGTCCATGCCAGTTGAGAAGAAGGCAGGTTTAAAGAGCTGTTGTCTTGCAAGTGACAAGTCAGCCATACGGGGAACCTCTAGTTGTCCCTTCCATCTTCGACAGTCTACGCAGTGTCGTTGGTGGCGCCGAACTGCTTCACGTCCTCGCAATACCCAGTAAGTCCTCCTTATCTCTGCGAACACTCGTTCTGGTCCAGGATGGTGCACCCTTTCATCATAATCTTTGATAATGAGTCTGGTCACAGGATGTTGA